TTATTTTTGCCCTCAGTCAGGGCTTTGCTTGAAATCTTGTGTTGATCTGTAAATCTTCCAAGCAAGCAGATACCTTCCCTCTTTTACTATGACCCTGTTTTGACTACAAAGCATGGGCCACCCAGGTTTAGCATTACAGGAAGTGATGATAGTGCTACACATAACACTTTCCAAAACAATACCTTGCTTTAAGTCTTACTCTGCCATTGAAATCAATGACAAACGATCCTTCGGATGATAATGTGGGGTGGATTGCAATCCACACTATGAGACCAGTCCAGTGGGAAGTTCTCTTGCATAAGCGCCACTGGCATGAAATGACTTTTCAGAGTAACATTGTGGCTCCCTGATGTCTGAATTCATCTTGTCAGTAAGACAACCAAGATACAAATCTGCTGAACCCATCCAGACATCCTAGGTAGCCTTCTCTCCCCTCTTGATTGCTGGGTTATCATGAATGTAACTGCAAGAGAGTGAGGGTACTCTTCCCGAAAGTGATGGCTGGATCCTTTGCACACAGATCTCAGCTCTGCTGCCCTTACTGGTGCTTAACTCAGCTGTGCTGAGTTAATTAAATGGCCGTCTCATATTCCTGGACTTTTCCGCTTTTTCACTGCCCTGCTGTCTTCCTTGCTTGTGGGTGAAGCCAGGGCTAATCGCTCTCGGGAGTCCTCTCTGTGTGCAGGCCTTCTCGCAGGTGACGTGCCAGAGTGACAAGAGCTTTGCTTGCTGAGTCACTCTGCACAAAGAGCTATGATAAGCCACAGGCTGCCGTCTGATTCCATCTCAAGATCCTTCCAGTTCCAAACATAGCCACTGGCTGACTTCCCCAACATTCTTTTGCGGTAGACAAGCCTTGCATTTTTCCATCTCTCTGAAACAGTGCACAGAAGTGCCTGCAATAAATGGGAGTATTCACCCCTGCAAGCTCATTCTTATTTGTCCTTGCTTACTCTCCCATCTGATGATATCTACATACATTCATTAAAGTATTCCAAAGTATGCACCTGGGTTTCATTTTCAAATGCTGCCCTCCACTGATAAACGGCAAGTGCATTACGCTTGTGCCTCCTGAGATTATAAAGACTTGCAAATTGTCACATTCAGAAAGAGGCCGCTTAACACTTTCATGCAATCAAAACATGATTCCTTCCTGTTGCTACTGGCAGAATTGGCAGACTCGACAAAAGCTTGAATTGTAACACATGTATGTGAACCGGGGTCTTTGCTTTCCCCAGACAGAGATATTTCCCTTGGTTCTGTGCCGGTTAATAGTAGATTTGTTTTCAAATCATCTCTTGCAGATTGCAGCAGGTGCACATCATTTTATAGCCCTACATGGACATCTAAGAGAAATATGCTATTTCAGTACACGGCATGGCTGCCCTAAATGGATTAACTTGGGAAGACTAAATCTTAAATACATACTCATCAAATTAGAAGCATTTATGTACAAGTACAGCACCATCTTTTTCACATTTAGGGAGCATGTTGCTATAACACTCACATTTAATCAAGCATGATATAAAAGATCTTATGCTACTCCTTTTATGATGTGTTGAGGGCAAATTAATTCATGTTGATTTTTTTGTCAGTAGCAGCTTCCTGAAAGTTGAACTGAATCATGTTTACCCCCTTAGGGTTTATTCTAACATTTCCGTTCTAGAAGCGTTAGCAGGAGCTTGGTATCTTTTCCTTCCTGGCTATTCCTAAATTAGTAAATGTAGCACCGTGCACAATCCAATCTGTATGCAAAATCATTGCCAGGCACATAAAAACTGCAAACATAATTGTTGTCTGAAATTTGTTTGCTTTCTTTATGGCAGGGAACTCTGCTGTAAGACATCATTTCACGAAACATTTCTGTTCATATTTTAGAAGCCTTCTGAAGTCAAGAGATGCTGTAGTGTAGTGTTGTGGCATGTGCGTGTGCACACACCCACAGGGAGGGAGGGAGGGAAGGAGGGAGAGTTGTTCATTCATTGTGGTGGTGTCTGAATGGCTAGCTGACTCTCTTCTCTTCATATCTTGCTATGGCAGGGCCATCTCCCAACTGTAGCTTCAGTCTCAAAAGGCCTGTCAGTATGATAGGTGGATGTGTGCATATAGGCAGAACCTGTGTTTTGCAAGTGCATAAGAATGTTGCAAATATAGATGTGAATCTTCTACTAAGCCAGGTCATTGGGCCATCTGGCTCAATATGTTTCAAGCAGAGGTAGGTAACCTGAAGCCCTCCAGATATTTTGGACGACAAATGCATCTTTCCTGGCCTTTGGCCATATTTACTGAGGCTGATGAAAATTGCTGTGCAAAACATCTGCAGGCCCTCATGTTGCCTGTACTGTAATCTGACAGGCAAGGTCTCTTCATGGTCTCAGTCAGAGTCCTTTCTTAGTGCTTGCCACCCCTTTTCACTCGATATCAGGAACTGACTGAACCTGAGAACTTCTCTGTGCAAAGCATATGCCCTGCTGTGGTGTTAAATGCCACCCAGAGCCACATTACCTCTGAAGTCTGGCCGAAATCGTTCTGCTCTTCACTCAGAGTAAACCATGGATCACTTCTTGGCCTGATACCTCATTTTACTTTTCTACCCTGGGCTCTCTTTCTTGATATGATCACAAAAGTTGAGGCTACATTGTAATCTAACCCAGGTAACTGGCTGATGTTGACCCTGGTGATGCAGGAAAAACACTATCAATGCACATCCCGATAGATCCCTCTTCTAATCAATCTTCTCATACTCCAAATGCAAGTGGTACAGGATTTTTGCATGGCACAAGAGAGACAAGCCTCCACATGGAGCCATAATCAAAGTGAAATTGCAACTGGGAGAAAGGTTTTGCTTAGGATAGGAGGGAGGCCCAGAGCTGTTCATAGCAGAGGCAACTGAGTTCCTTTTGCCCACACCTTCTGACAACAGCATGATCATTGACTGCTTGCTCTCATAGGGTTTATTTAGTTACCAGTGTTTGGGAAACAAGTCCTGGAATGTGTCCACAGCCATTCCACTGTGGCTTTTCTCCACATCTATAATACTGTTATTGTTGCCTTTCTGTCAACCAACTGATGATGCCCTTCAGCATTTAAGATGCTGAAGACTCATTTGAGTTTACTGTATACTTCATGGGTATGAGAGCTGGTCAAGAAAAACAGTATAAAAGTGTGCTAGGATAGCAAGGAACAGTTTACCAAGATTAGCAAACGGTGAGAATGTTTTCTAAAAGCAGTTACTATTAGGTCCAGGCAATCATCTTGGGATCTGATGGTAAAATCACAAAGGTTAAAGACAAATTAACTTTAGCATGTGTGACACTGGATGCTGCTAATTAATGGAAACTATATAACTGCTGATAACCATTTATCACTTTAAAAAATGAGATGAAGGAACACAGCAGTTGTCTTAGAGTCATTATTCCTGTTTACAGCAGGAGTATCTGATATTTCATCTCCAATACGAGAGAATTGTATTATTTTCTTTGGTTTCTAGCCAACACTGATGACAATTTATATGTTGCACTGCTTGTTTTGTATTTAATACATAAATGCTACTTTTTAATCATTTGCTTCCATTTGTCCTGGTGTGCAGTTTCAAAGCAAGTCAGGATGGGGATGGGGTGGAGAGTTTTAATTGTATAAAAGCTTTGGTTGGTTGGTTGCTAAGACGCAATAATGTGAAAGATCAACAAACCATCACATTTGTGAGAATTTATGTCTTTCCAGTCTAACACAGGAAGACAGTAAGGATTGTAGTTGCTTTTGCTTCAACTTTATAAAGATTCATGTGTTTTATGTCTCCCAGGGAAATGGATTCAACTGGGAACTCAAAGATAGCACAAATCCTACTAACATAATCTGAGTTTTTATGCAGACCAATTGAACCATTGATCCAACAATGAAGCGACAAAAACACATAGAGGGAGTTGTGCTTTCCTATAATAGTATCTTTTCTTGCGAGATATATCTTAACTCCCCTTTTTTGGCTTATAAATACTTCTTTCCATTGCTTAATTATCTTGTTTCTGCTTTTCCTATAATCAGCTATTTCAGTGTGTGTGTACATTGGCTGGTAAGCTCCCGTGTAAACACAAATGAAACCAAATTGGCTGCACTGACACATGTCCGGAAGGCAACTGCCATCATACCCTACTTGCGGGCTTCCTAAAAGCATGTTTAGTCACTGTAAGAAATGTCCTGGATGATAAGGATTTTTGGTTTGATTCCCCAGACCTCTTCTTATGATGTACATAAGAATGTCCAGTGTGTTTCCTATACTGGTTTTCTGCACAAAAATTTGAGTCCTCTATTGTATGGTTAATTCACAATTCAATCACCTTACTTCATGAAAAGGTGTTCACCTTTTTTCAGGTCTTTAGCAACAGCTTTCAGGTGTATCACACCTGAACTCAGCAATGCACACCTACACTTCACTTATGTTGCTTCACACAAGCCTGTGATGCAGTTTATGGGACTAGTTGCCTCCCCAATATTCAAACATTAATGCTTACCCTCTTGAATGTGGTTAGAGGCTCAGCTAGGGATCTGAAGCCACTGGAGTATACTTTGACCCAAAGAACTCAAGAACTATGTCATTCCCCTTCTTAATTCCCTGATACCTAAAAATCTTGGTTCACCAACTCATTAGGCTAGTGAGGTTTCAGCAGGAAGCATTTTCCGTATGCTCCCAGGCATACCTTTATACACAAGAGCTTGGAGCTCGCTCTAAAAGGAGAAGGGAACATGTTCCTTAGGATACTGAATACTACAGCCAATACCCCATAGTAAGCTTTTTTGTATTTTCACAGGATTGTAGCAAATACAGAGCCCAACTAGCAAGGAACCTAATTATGCCCCCAATTTTGATGGAAACTAATTCATATTACACAGTTGCTAACAAGTCTTAAGGCTCTTTCCAAGGTCTTAAGGGAGTATGAAAGGATGGGTACCTTTTGATACTGAGGCGAATTAGTTCTGCCAAGTACTCAAAATTCAGGCAAACATACACAGAAAACACGGCTTTATTGACTGCATTTGCCAACACACTGAAGAATGCAAAGGTATTTCTTTTTTCATAAGCAAATGGGCCATGGTCCCAATGTGTATTAAAGCATACACTGAATCGAAACATGATGAAAATTATGGCAGACAGACCTAGTCCAAGGCAACACAAACAGCATGCATAATACAGCTTTCACACAGAACAACTTTGATACATTATATTGCTTTAAGGATTAACTAACATGGAAAATGTACAAAAAGGAGAAATAGGTTTTTGCATTAATGAAAAATACATTTTTTCTCTACAAAGGAATTTCTAATACAAGAAAATAAATATTGCAACATAAGCCAAAAATAATTTAAAATTGCTCTTTTCAATATATTTTCAATATTTCTCTTTTATATTAACAAATGGCACATCACTTTCTTTGAAACAAAGAAAACCAGAAGGGCTTTGCCTCCTGTGACATTCATATCATTTCCTGTAACTGATATGGAGTGGGCCTGTTTTGTGTCTGTATGGAATGGAGGAAAGTATAAAGGAGTTTCCTTAAAGAACAACCAAATTAGCACACCTACCTGGCAACAGGAAACAGAGTACTTTTGTGACAGGTTGCAAAGACTTGATTTGGAGGAAACAAGAACAGGTGGGATTGAATTCTTTCCCTTTTCCTTCTACAGAAATGGATAAATCTGCATTGTGCTTTGAGGAAAAGCACGGCCAAATGTTTGTTTTTATTTATTTTTCAAAACACAACAAACTACAAAAAAGTCAAACAACATGCCACAAATAGCTATTCTAGAAAACCTATGATGGGAAAGGAGGAGGAAAATTCAAATTGTCTCTAGGAGATTGCATTCAACACGTAGATTTTAAAAGCCAAATGTGATTTTACCATGAACCAAAAAGAACACTCATGATTGCAATGCTCATATGTAATCATGATGCTGCTTTCCCAAAGGAAATAGGATTCATTCCTTACAGTGCAAATGTCAATGCTTGAAGTTACACATCATCGTAAAGACCTTTGTTTAATAAAATAGACCATTTATGCTTTTTTCTGTTCATCTCAAAATACATTTACAGTGCATCAAAAATATTTTCCATGTACAATTTCTTCTTTTATGCAAATCTTTCTTGTTTCTGCAGAGGAAAAAAGCAGGTGCTAAACTTCTAAAGCATTAAGAAGACTGTAGCTCCTCTTAAACAGATTTTTACTAATATGCAGATAGCTGTCCACAGAGTACAAGGTAATATCAAGGGTTATAGTGACACTACTAGAAACCATATAAAAATCAGTGATGGTTATTTTTTAAAATAAACCAGAGCTGGATTTTTACTATCAGACACATTGCCTTATCATTACCAATGCTGTTTGCTGAAACTTTTTATCGTAGTTTGCTAGGTATAGTAAAACTCAGTGCCAGAAGGTAGCTTGGACTAACTTTCTGCAGCACTTCTGAGTTCTTGTTTCACTGCATCACACTACTGAAGCGACAGCTTGCATGGGTTCCTCTATAACTTCAGAGACTATAGCTGGCTCCAAGGTACTCACTGGCCTTCGCCGTAACTGTAGAAATGTATTGATAAATCATGAATAGTATTGAGAGTGCAAGCACATTGCAGAATCCAAACTAAGAAATTCCTTAGCAGTTATATAAAACATGCTAACATTCTGTCAAAGAGAAAAGATAAAAGGTGGTTGTATTCCATTATATGCTTGTCTAAAATAGGATTAGATCCAATGAGGCTTAATGACTAGAAGAGTGTGTTTGTCTGGATTTTTACTGATTTCCCCCTTCCCATCAAGCATGTCCCATCAAATCTGCAGAATGGAAAGAGGGGAGCTGTGGAGGGAACCAGCAAAATTCACCTCTTTTGCCAGCATCCTCTGGATCCAAGCAATTTCAGTGACAGAGAGGGCATCTTTGGATACAACTTAGAGATGATAAGACATTCTAGTTCGGAATAATGCTCAATTTCTTTTTGCTAGTAAGTCTTTCGTACCCTTTTCTTCCATTTTCCAGCTCTAATTCCCCATACAATAAGGCCCCAGAAAATAAATGTGGCTCCTTTAAAAAAATCCCAATTGCGAAAACATGATAGCTACAAACGTAAGCGTAACATCATGTATGATGTCTGTGATCCAAAATTCCATTAGGCTCTGTGGAGTTCCATATGAGCAGAAGCTGTCCAGTTTTCTTCTGTTTTGACAAACATTTCAGATGTGAAGCTCCATGATGCATACAGAGCATTTCATGAGACTTTAAAAAGCCCCATGAGTGCACCTGAAGGCTCCAGAGCAGGGTGAAGTATTTCTTCTTTCCCCCCCACTTTTTAAACAATCAGTTTTGGTTCACAATTACTTCTTATTCACAGTAACAATGGAGTGTCTCACAGTTTTACATATGATCCAAACAAAGATGATAGGTGCTGGTTTAGTTTGGTTGTTCTTTAAAGTTTGTCCCTTTTGGGGTCCTGTACTGAATGAGCAGGCAAGTAATGCAGTAGCTGATGAATGAAGCTGTGTACAGTGAGATTTCTGGATTTTTTTCTCTTTTTTTAAGCAATAGTTGAACTGAAGCACACGGAAGCAAGATCCATTAAAAGGCAGCATATTGATTATTTGTATGACATAACTAGGATATTGTAGCTAAAGCCTAGCAAGCTTGAATAAGATAAAACTAAGTCCTATTTACTGTATTTAACATTATCTGAACATACCAAGCCTTAATTAAGAGCAAAATTTACTTATCAACCCATATGGGTTGGGTTAATATCGAATTGTTCCATTACAGTCAGTACTTTTGAAAAATTATTTAGCAAAGAAAACTTCTCAAATCTGTGAAAAAAACGATGTGTATTTGGCTCGTGTTTTTTGGTTTCTTTTCAGAATAAAGGTTCTACAAATTATAGCTCAACTGGAGAGATATTAAGGACTTGGAAGGCTTGTAAAATGACTTGACTCTCAAAAACCAAGGACAGCCAGCATCTGGCATCAAAGAACATAAAACCAACATTGCTCAGACTGGAATGAGCAAAGAACATCAGAAATCAAAATGGAGGGAGGTGGTCCAAATGATAAAAGCATCATTTTCAGCAAGCTTGCAACCTAATGCCTCAGCTGTGTCATGAACACGGATTTAGTCCTTTTGTAGCTAAACAGCTTTCATTCTTTTTTGTTTTTGTTTTCAAATAACAAGTTTCTGGTTTCTGGCTGTGCTATTTTATTCTCAAAATATTCTTTGGCATCCATAAAATAATTTGACAAATTTATCTGAACAACTGCAAGGTCTCGTCTCCCCCAGTTTGACAGTGATGGGTTAACAAGCAGAAGTGTCCCAGTATAGATATATATACACACACACTCATATTGAAAATAACATACCAACAAAAAAAAGAGTTAGTGATCTTCACTTTTCTTTTTGTATTTTGTTCCCTGAGCTCACACTGGGGTCACTCCCATAAAGCATGTGGCAAACCTTAACTGTGACCTTTGAAGCCAAAATGGAAGTAATGGTGTAATTAAGTGCAAACATGGAAATCTGTGACAAATATGTAACATGAACTTATGAATGACACTTAAGGCTTATTAGAGACAATTTATACACAACATTACTGAAATATTTAGAATGTGGACTTCTGTAAATCACTCTCCTAGGATGAGTCCACAGCTTGATGGTAAGCTTTTACTTCTGAAATGGAAAGATGGAAAGGGGAGAAGCCATCAATTGAGTGACAGTGTTTAGATAAAGAAACACTGTGGCAAAGGCAAATAGTTCAATTGCCTTTCAAAGGTTGTGTCCTCAACCAGGTGACCCTCTCTGTACAGCAGAAGCTTACATATTCAACTCTCTGAACAGGTGAGCCATAATTTGCCTGTTTTTGCTTCAAGTATAGACCTGACCTCTTTCACAAGGCTGGGATCTGAAGCCATTTGATGATGATAGTGATGATGATGATGATGATGATAGTCATGATGATTTTTTAAAACTCTGAATAATTTTCCTATCTGGTTTATGGAAATATTGCCCCTCTGATCTCTATTTGGCCCAAGTGTTTTGGTAAAAGGCTACTTTAATCAACCTGAGGAAATTATGGGAATTGCTTCAGATAATCAAAGGGTTAGTTTTTACCAATAAATAATACCCAAAGTTACTCAGGAGAGATACTGATATACAGCAGAGCAGCTTTAACACAGATATGTAATTCTTCTATCTACTGAGAGCCTTGGATGAGTGTTTATAGTGCTGCCCAGCTGATACTTGGAGTGATAGGGCTAAATCTTGGTTCTTGGCCCCTTGGACGGACTGTGATCAAACTGGAGAGGTGAAAAAGAAAAATCACGGATTTAATAGACCATAAATACAATGGTGTTTTTCTCCACCCATTAAGTGCTTTCTTCAAATAAGCTTGTTGTGCTTCTTTTAAAAATAGTCGCTTATTTTACTTCATAGTTGCTAACACAGACATACACACACGCTGACAAACCCTATGGACAAGTGTGTGTGCACAGAAACACACTCACACCCACCCACCCACCCTCCCGCCCACCCAGATTTACTTTCCCCTTAAGTCCTGTGTATATAGCTGGCTACCACAGCAGTACTCCAATTCTACACCCTGCCAAACAGAGGCAATTAGACCAGGCAGACCATGAAATCTATTCGCTTGGTTTAAATAATGCCCATAAAACTGTCATCCCTGCGTGAGCCACAGGTACTGGCAACCTCACATTCCCTCATTGAAGTTCTAGGATGTCCTGCTCACTATCAGCGAGTGAGAAGTCCCTAACCATGCACATGCTTGCCTTGTGTTAACCGGGAAATGCAAGGATTGACTAAGAAGGGCTAGCTACGGTTACAGTATGCAAGTCTATGTTGGTGGTGCTCTGAGCTGTATCTCAGGCATAGAGAGAAGAGGAACAACAGCAGTGCTAGTTCTGAACTATATATACAAATTAAAAACAAAACAAAACAAACAAACAAACAAACAAACTGAAACCCTCTTATGATACCAGGCGGAAATTGGACATGGCAGTTGTAACTGTATTTAGGCCTCACATGAGCGGTCACACTTGGTCTGTCTGGCGTATTAGGATGCCAAAATACTCATTCTGAAATTATCCTCATTTCCTGAATCTAACTGGCTATGGTGCCCTCTGCCACTACCGGATTCTGCATCAGAGTCACTCATTTCTGCATCTGAAAAGTAGCCATCAGTCTCATTGTCAAAATGGTGTAAGACGACCTTCGATTTTTCACTTCCTGGAGGTCCATTAACCGTCTCAGGCTTCTCGTTCTGTGATCTCCGTGTCCCTCTGCCCTCTTTTGGTAATTTGAATCTCACTACTGTTTTCGGGCAACCTACTGAATCAGGCACTTTAACCAAGGAGTTGGGATCAGATGGGGCATATTTCACTGGTTCCACATCATTGCTTAGGTTACTTATCAGACTCTGGGAGGCTTGAGAATCATTTGCTTTTGGAAGAGGAGGTGAAGGATGAGAACAGCCCTTCCTAACTGTCCTTTTCACTTCAAACATCACTTTGCGCTCTGGCTGAAGTTTGTCCATCCCCTTCTCCATTTTGTTGTTCCTTAAATCGTGTGATAAAGATTTTGTGGTGTTATCTGACAAGTGACTCACATTAGTCCACTGATCTGAATCCTCTTCCTGATGTTGCTTAAAGAAATTCAAACCATTTCTTGCAGGCTTTTTCTTAGTGTGTGTTCGCATTTTGCTCTTGGCTTTCTTAGCTGTGTCACTCTGCTTCAATGGAGACTTCAAAGAATGATCCATCATAAAACTTAACAAGGTCTCTTCATCTTGCAAGAGCTCCTCAGAAAGACCTGGGGTGGTGTCTTCACGATGGCCAGTGTTCAATGACCACTCACTCATTGCCATATTCTCCGTGGTAATCTGTACAGATTGAGCTAGCCAGTTGTTGAAGAAGGTTCCGTCAATGGGGAAGGAAGTTGGGAAACCTATAAAAATAATGGACGAAAAAAGAACAAAATGTCTTAGAATTCAGTCATTCAAGAGTTTCAACAGTATTGTGCTATGGATTCAACCACAGTTTTGAAGGACAGCTAAACATTTGAGGGTTTAGGAAGGCAGAGGTTGAAGAAAAGCTAATGCAACTTTTCACTTAATGTATAACCAGTCTTGATTAATTTGGGAAATCCTGAATATGAATTACATTGTCAGCTTTTTACATTAGATATTTTATAATAGCCAAATAGAGAAAACCAATATAAGTAAGATAAAGGGCCTACAACAAAATGCTGCATGAATCCTATGCAGTGACCCTACTCCCCCACACAAACCCACATTTCTATGTCTTGCCTTGCCATCCCTTTTCTTCTTGTGGTGTCTTCCATTTTATAATCTCTCCTCTCCCTCCCCCTAGAATTTCCCCCTCTCTGTCCTCAGCCTGTCTTCACTGATTCTTCTTCTTCCTCCAATAGATTTATATACTGCTCACCATATTTGAAAGTATAAATATCTCTTTCTAACCCCCGCCCATCTCTTGCTTTTGTCTCAGTCACTTCCCAGTTCTTTCTCCCACCTGCATTGTCCCTCCCGCTTCCCCAAGCTTCCTTTTCTCCATCTCCCTCAACCTCATGTCGCTGTGTTGTCTGTTCATCTCTCCCCATGCCCTGTTTCTCTTCCTACTCCTTTCTCCCTACATGTTCAGCCAGAAACCTGGGCAGTGGTTTTTGGAGGCCTGATATGTGAACCCTGTTACCATTTTTTAAAACGAGGGCCATGGTTGAATCAGGCATATGTTGCATGCTTAAGTGATCATGTTTAGCTTCTTGGGTGGTTGATTATTTAGGGCTTTCCCCCTCCATCATATTGGTACTTCTGAAAACCTCAGGGCACAACTGAGTCTGCTGATACCCCCATCTTGCCTATGGGTAGTGTCATTTTTGTCATGTCAATATGGATATTCCATTCTAAGCAACAGAAATAGGGGGAATGATGAAGCTCTGTAGTTTGGGCAAGCTGAACAACAGGAGAATAAGAATATATACACTGATGGCAACCACTAGACTTGGATAAACTATCACACAGTGTTCTGGTTCACACAGTCGAAACATCTGATTATGAGCTGTTTAAGCCACAATGGTCTGGGGTGTGCAGCTGGCAGGGAAACAGAATAAGGGTTATGTGAATGTTGTTTAACCTATGAATCTTGGGTTTACAGGACACAGCAAACTGAGGTGATAAATATTCAAACTAGCCACTTGCATGCACCATAATGGCCACTTGAAAAATTGAATTTTAAGTATCAAATAAGCCATGGTGAACTGTTCACTTGTGTAAACTGGCCCATTGAGCTGGAGGTGACATTATAATCAAAATAACTAACCAATAAAAATGGATTTCACAAATTGCTAGTAATTTCTCATTCTCATGATGTACCCTTTTGGTATAGTGTCTCAGTCAACTTCAGGCTCAGAGTTCAATAAATGCTATGTCAGCGTCAGCAGCAACAAGTCATGCCTTATCAATTCATAGGGCTGCTATGCCACATGCTAAAGGCAGCCCTGCTCAGAGAAGCCAGGCAAGGCTAACCGCAGGCATGCTATTCCTATCTAGAAGGTCACCAAGTGGGCCTCCAATCACTAGCTGGAATGAAGATGTAGGACACTATTTATTGTTAATCCCATCACCACCATAAGCTCTTTTGAAAACATTTGTGACACTTTAAACCACTTCATGGGTTTTAAATATGTATTTTCGAAGCCTAACTTACCTAACTGTCCCAGGACCAACTCATTTCCTGGTTTCCTTTTTTCTTTCTTGTCAGTGCTGCTTTTCCTGTCATCTTTCCCCTTTCTTTTTGGGTCACTTCTCCTTCCCTTTGTTCTTTTCCCAGTTTGTTCTGTTGAAGTTTAAAAAGTAAAAATAATGAATAACATAATAAATTAAAACAATAGATTTTGAAAGACAGAAGAAATGGATGATTTAAAGTAGACAGAGGAAACTAAATAGAATAAAAACACTTAATGAAGTATTGCAGTGGGTCTTGGTAGAGTATGATATTGTGTGGAGATGGTTTGGCACCATTTTAGGCAAGCTATCATTGCAAACTTCAGCCTTATTGCCTAGGTGTGATATTTCAATTACAGACTGCAACTGGATAGGTCCAATTATAATGAGGAGTTCTTCTGATAAATATGCATATAATCATTAGCATTTTGTTTTGCCCAAATATGTAAAATTTAAACCAGTCTGGTATCCTTGAAATCAAGGAAGTGCTGTGTTTAAAGTTAGTATAGCTCTATTTGAATTTGACTTAAATTCAAGTGTTCTTCATGTACTGGGTTATGAATCAGAATGTTAGGTTGAGACTGGCCACACAGTCTTTGTAAATGTCCAATAAACTTGGGTTAGCAGAGTATTACTGGGTTTGAATCAGTGCCTTCTAGTTCTTATCCCACAAAGCACTTGCTGACCTTTATTCCCATTCAAAACATTTCAGTGGACTCTTCGTATGAAAATGTGCTGGGGCAGCTCCTTAGGTCAATGATTGAATTTAGCTGTTGCACATAAAAGGCCCCAGATTGAATGTCTGGATCCTGCTAAAAGGATCACGTAGCAGAGGATGTGAAAGACCTCTACCAGCAAGAGCAAACTGTACTGATGGACAAATAGTCTGACAGGGTATAAAGTAGCATTTTTTGTTTCCACGTGTTTTGACTGCATTGTCTAACTGTGCATGTGGCCATTTTGGTAAACAAGTTTACATAGGTAACATTGCTCAGTTTGAGACCAGGCATTCTGGACAGGACAGATTGATTCTTTTTATATGCCGCCTGACAGCCTGAATGGGCCTTCAGGGCAGCTTATAACATCAAACAGAAAAACAATTGAAACCAAATGTTAAGCTATCATGAAATATCAACCAGTGTTTAACAGTTAATTTCAAATGCCAGCCTGATCAATCTATAGAGAATCACAGGACAGGAGAGCAATAAAACAAGCCAGTTTAAAATCTGCCCTCTTCCCTAGCTACTGACTAGAAAAGAAATGTTTTGGCATATTGTTGGAATATGAAGACAGAGTTGGCCTGCTAAGTTTCCCTGAAGAGGGAATTCCAAAGGATGCATATAACACAGCCTGATCCTCATTCCTGCCAGTCTAGATAAAGATGAGCCTGGAGTTGGAGTCTCTTCCACAACATAGGGAAGCTGGCAAGAAGATGCATCATCTTAATTAACTAGGGCCAAGGTATTTAGAGCTTTGTAGGTCAAACCGAATTATGTACAGAAATGCATTGTGACTCACTCCCGTAATTTGCTGTGTAGATGCATTTTTAGCTTACTGAAGATCTGGGCAAGCCTTCCAGGATGGTGCCACGGACAGTATACCGTAGTTGCCCAGTCTGGAAATTACAAAGGCATGTACCAGCACTAGGCTGTTCTCTAACAAGGGAATGCTATACATGTGAAGTCCTGTTGATTTCAACTGGTCTTGCTCCCAAGCAAGGGGTCACAGCAGGCCAGCCTAAGAGTGGTTAACAGCTAATCAAGTAACCAGCCTAAGCAAGTAAAAGGCACTTGGGCGCATGGCTACCCACTGAGAAGTCTAACAGAGCCCTCATACTGGGGACAAGAATCTTCAAGGGAAATGCAACCTCATCTAAGACAGAGTAACCATCAACTCTCCATAATCAAGTTTTCTTGCCGTTAAAGCAGTTTTCCCAAACCTGGTGTTCTCCGGGCACCGGGATAGCTTCAATGATGTGATTTGTAGTCCAATACACTGGGAAAACACCAGGTTGATGGAGCTGTACATCCTTTTTACTGTACTGAACTTCAACTTGTTTAACCTTATCTAGTCTGTCATTTCAGAACTTGATTGCCTCATGTGGTTTCACTCACAAGGCAAAATAGAGTTGAAAGTCAGCAGGACATTAGTGATCCCTCATTCTACTTCCCTCCCAGAAACAGAAAAACACAGTGTCAAAAAGTGTGGGGGAGAAGATTTAACCTTGTGGAGGGCCAAATCCCCATAGGATGGGGCAATCCATTCCCTAGGGTCACTGTCTAGGAGATACCTAATAGCCAGGAACTGCTGCAATGTGGTACGGGGAGACATTCAACACACACATCCGACTACCCTCTTATGCAACCAAAACTGTAATGCCTGGAGACTAAATTAACTATACTTGAATTTGCATTAGATTAAGTAAGTAAGATAGAGAAAATACCTGGACAACTAAAAACCTAGAATATAAGTCCAAATCCTTTTTTGGAAATGTATTTCAAGTTAAATTCATACCAAACAATCTGAATTACCCGCGTGATTTAATTCTTGATGATTCATGTACTGTAAAGACATACTTTGTTAAAATTTTGCTATTCTTTTAGATGAAGAACTGCTCTGAATGTTTGGCTTACTTATTCAATGGAAGATGGTGCATTCTCATGTAAATCCCTGTTATTGCCTTGTTTATTTCAGTGGCTACACCAGGAAGAAGTGTGCTTGATGAGGTTAACAATGGGATGTTAATCTTCTGAGAACTAGATCCAAGGGGCCACTAGAAAAATAAATGTGCATGCCTGATTTGCCTTGGAGAATAAATTACTATATAAGCATCAAAAGCATTATGGGAAGACAAACATGTTGTGGTTTTGTGTCATGTATATCAACGGGCCTCTACCTATTATGATGTTATGCTAGTGGTATGTAGCAATTTGCTAACTGCCCACTTTTAGGGGAGTTTTTTTCTTAATATAAATGAACTATCTGAAGCTACTGCTTTGTGGTCAAAGCTACTAAGAAGAAAACACAGCAGTAACCCCAAGGTAGATCAATGGTTCATGCCATTATGAATGGACTCCCAGACCTCCAGAGCTGGCTGCTGCTGAAGAAAGGATACTGGGGCTTACATGCACTATTGGCTTAAACCAATAATGTTGTTCTTGGTACCCACTTAATAAACCACTATTATAGTTTATCGAGGATTTATATTTCCGGGCATGCCAATCAAAGATTTTTCTCCCAGGGACTGAACTGACTTCCAAGAAGAAAGAAAAGCAAAATTGATGTTTGCTCAATCCCTGCCAGCTAACTGGAGAAGGGCAGACACATTTTTCACTTGACTTAACAAATAAAATATATGGCTTTGTTTAGATGGTGCAATGCTTCCAAACAGCCATATGAATGTTAGACTGTTTGAAAAAGAAGCCTGTCAAAAGGAACAGCTGCATTTCAAAGCCTGACAACTAGAGGGTAGCTTTTGAGTTCACTGAAGAGAAATAGAAAAGTCCTGCTTTAACTGGCAGCCCCTTCCAGTTCCGAGACACTTGCCTGCCTAAATGATTTTTCATCAGTTGCAAAATACACCACTAATCTCAAGTTTATGAAGAAATCCACTCAAAAGTGAAAGGGTGTGCCAAATACATTCCACCAAGTTTTGTGTATTAACTGTCATGGCAAGTACTAATTAATAAGTAAACTGGGCCAGTGATGGATGGAGAAGATGTTTTCCCTTTTCTCTCTGTGTGGAGAGAAAAGAGGGACAAAGATATCTTGGTCAATTTGAACAAGACATTTTGTATGGAATGCATGCTATGCTGTGCAACTGTTTGTTTGTTTAATTTCTATACTGCCCAACAGCTGAAGCTCTCTGGAAGGTTTACAACAATCCATTAACACACAGTATGTACATAGGTATGTATGTATTTGATTTATATCCCAACTTTTTTTTCTTTTTTAAACATAGAAACAGAGAGAGTCAGAAGGGGCCTCCTGGGCCATCTAGTCCGACCTCTGGCACCAGCCGGCTCTGCTCACTACATGCCCACCATGTGCACGTCCAGTCTATCCTTGAACACCCGCACCAATGGGGCCTCAACGATCTCTTGTGGAAGCCCATTCCACACTCTCGGGGTCCTAACTGTCAGGAAATGCTTCCTGGCATCCAAATGGAACCTTGGCTCCCTGAGCTTTGCTCCGTTGGAGCGCGCCCTGCCTTCCTCTGCAGGGGAGAACAGGTCTCTACCCATCTCCGTATGACATCCCCTGACATACCTGTATGTCGCCAACATATCCCCTCTGAGTCTCCTCCAGGCTGAAGAGACCCAGTTCCCTCAGTCTCGCCTCATACCCCATCCCCTGCAAACCAGCCACCAACCTTGTGGGCCTACGCTGCACTAACCTGGCTATATCCTTTCTGTAATGAGGGGCCCAAAACTGAGCACAATACTCCAGTTGCGGGCGCACCAGAGTCATATAGAGTGGTAATAATACCTCTCTTGATCTAGAAGCCACACTTCTGGCTATGCAACCAAGGGTGGCGTTCGCCCTCTTGACCACCGCATCACACTGCTGACTCATGTTTAGCCTGCAGTCAACCAGTATCCCGAGCTCCCCTTCACAAGTGCTGCTCTCCAGCCACTAGTCACCTAACCTGTACTTATGACAGCTATTCCTATGCCCCAAGTGCAAGACCTTGCACTTATCCACACTGAATGCCATTTTGGTGTCTCCTGCCCACTTCCATAGTCTGTCCAGATCCTTTTGGATCTGGAGTACCTGCTCCTCAGTTGTGGCCACTGCTCCAGTTTTAGTGTCGTCTGCGAATTTGATCAGCAGACTATTCACCCCTTCTTCCATGTCATTAATGAAAAGATTAAACAGGATCGGCCCCAGGACAGAGCCCTGGGGGACCCCACTTGTCACTGGCTGCCATCCCGATGATTCCCCACTAATGGTTACCTTCTGCTTTTGGTCAGTCAACCCTGCCCTAATCCACCGGACAGTGCTTTGGTGTATCCCAAAACTCCTCAGTTTCTCCACTAGGATATCATGGGGCACTTTGTCAAAGGCCTTGCTCAAATCCAGGTATACCACATCCACTGCATCCCTTCCATC